CCCCAAAACCCCAAAACCCCAAAACCCCAAAACCCCAAGTTATAAAGATTATATTGAATATGCAATCTATTAAGACTACTGACTTTCTATCGAAACAACAGAGTGATAATCACCAAGTGAGGGATTCTGTCACCTCCTCCTCATCTGGCAGCAGCCAGATTGAGTTGGACATAAGGGGGAATCTCATACAAAGAGATCGTCTCTATACCTTTAAAGCGATACCTTCGAACCACGATGGGCCCATATTAAATCAAGACATTTCCAAACATAATGCTCAAATGGGGTGAGGAACTGCTTTTGCAGAGCTTTCTAACAAAGCATCTCCCGGATTTCAGGCCAAAAATAAGCTACAAGGAAGCTTATCTACCGACCAGGCTGTACAAAGGAATATATTTTTACTACCTTCACAACACTTTAGGGATAATGCTCCATCAGAGAGCCCATTCTTCAAGGTTGAATCATGACCAGCGGATGGTAATCGGCAGGAATTCCCTTCATCAAGAAAATTCTCGTTTCAAACTCCTCAGATAATAGCAAATACAAAGGCTAAGGTCAGTGAGGAAATGAAGGACTTGGATAACAATCTGTTTCTTAAAGCCGAAAAGTCCGTTTCTCAATCCGACTTAAACAGCTCGGTAATAATTTTAAGACCGAAGCAGGTGAAACATAATAATGAGTATATAAAAGAAAAATATATCGGGGATTCCAAAGATCAAAAATCCGAAAGAGAGGATGAGCATTCGAAAGAGCCAACACCTCTAAGCACCATCGAAGATGCACCAAGTGAGCTTTCTTATACCTGATTTATGAAAGAGTTGAAGGCTGAATGTAAAAATGGTAAAAATAATAAATCAAAGAGAGATCGGACCTGAGACAATTCATTTACAAGTGAACATGGATTTACCTCAATAAACCCGAATGAGGCATCTACCATTTCAAAACACCCATACCACCCAAAATCTATTTCCAAACGCTCTAAAAATATTAAAAATCCTCTCATCAACCTACAAAATCCGAAAAACGCGAATTTTAATAATCAATTCCTTAAAATACCCTGCCCATCTCAAAATTCACCACACTGGCTTGCTCCTAGAAATAGCAACAAACCAACAGACCCTTGTGTCCAAATGTTTGACACTCTTCTTCAGCACCAAACAGCACAATTCCAAGCGATGCTGAGCAGCCATACAATGTTGATGGAAAAGATCATTGATAAGCTATAAATACCTAAATTATACTGGTGAACTATACATAAAGTTTCAATATCTTTTACAAAGAGTGGGGTTTTGGGGTTTTGGGGTTTTGGGGTTTTGGGG